ATCGCCTGCAAGGAAAAGCAAACGAATTAGGATAAATAACACATGGAAAACAAGAGACAGCCTGAACTCAGGCAGCATTCCCGCACCACACATTCCTTTTATTTTAAGGCTAAGTATTTAAAGATTTCTTACTTGGTATTTCTGATGCCCATTAAGAATTCACAGACATGTGGTTTTTACAGAATCTGGTTATAACAGCCCAAACCAACCTACAGTCAGACTCCCCACATGATGGCTGAGTTTGTTACTTATCAGTAAGAATGATGATTATATTGACTATGACATTCATGAGCATAACATGCAATAAGAGGTTATTAATAACAAAATTAGGTCTCCTAGGATCACATCCATTATGCAAGATTCAGCTAAAAATAATTTACAAGGTTCCGTTGAGGCTAGATGAAAGAACCTAAGCCCTCAATCTCTGGGAGAAAATAGAAGAGAGAGGTATAGGAACAAAGTGTTCAAAGTCTATAGCTTAATTAAAGGAAAACTGGAGAATGTCCCTAGACAGATTATAATATCCACTGTTGGGAAGTTAATTTCTAAAATGTCCAAAAATATGACTGGGGATGTTGTTCAGTTGGTAAGAGTACTTGCCAAATGTCCAAATGTCCCATTTCTATAAACTAAACTAGGCATGGTGGCTAACATGGCTAGGTTTTTTTTTTTTTTTTTTTTTTTCCCGAGACAGGGTTTCTCTGTGTAGCCCTGGCTGTCCTGGAACTCACTCTGTAGACCAGGCTTACCTCGAACTCAGAAATCTACCTGCCTCTGCCTCCCAAGTGCTGGGATTAAAGGCGTACGCCAACACTGCCCGGTGTCATGGCTAGTTTTATGTTAACTTAAAACAAGCTAAAGTCATCTGAGGACAGAACCTCAACTGAAAAAAAAGCCTCCATAAGATCAGGCTGTAGGCAAACCTACAGGGCATTTCCTTAATTCTTTAATTAATTCCTTAATTCCTTAATTAATGATAGACAAGAGAGGGCCTCAGCCTATTGCAGATAGGAATACTCCTGGGCTGGTGGTCCTGGGTTCTATATGAAAGCAGGCTGAGCAAGCCAGGAGGAGTAAGTCAGGCCCTCTGTGGCCCCAGCATCAGCTCCTGCCTACAGGATCCTGACCTGTTTAAGTTCCTGTATTGGCTTCCCTCAATGGACTGTAATTTAGGATATGTAAGCCAAACAAACCATTTAACCATTTCCTCTCCAAGTTGCTTTTGATCATAGTGTTTCATCATAGCAGTAGAAAAATAACTAAAGCACACACCTATAACCCCAGCATTCAGGAGTTAGAGTCAGCACAATCAGAAATTCCAGGTCATAAATGGCTATTTAACAAGTTAGAGATTTGGGCTGGAGCGATGGCTCAGCGGTTAAGAACACTGGCTGCTCTTCCAGACATCCTGAGTTCAATTCCCAGCAACCACATGGGGTCTTACAACCATCTGTAATGGGATCCAGCGCCCTCTTCTGGTGTGTCTGAAGACAGCTATGGTGTACTCATATAAATAAAATAAATAAACCTTTTTTTTTTTTTTGGTTTTTCGAGACAGGGTTTCTCTGTATAGCCCTGGCTGTCCTGGAACTCACTCTGTAGACCAGGCTGGCCTCGAACTCAGAAATCCGCCTGTCTCTGCCTCCCAAGTGCTGGGATTAAAGGCGTGCGACACCACCGCCCGGGTATAAATAAATCTTAAAAAACAAAAAAACAAAACAAGTTAGAGATCAGCTTGGAAACAAAAGACCCTATATAAACAAATAAGCAGTATGTTAAATATCTTATTTAAGTCTTCTTTCTGGAAATAACATAAACATTGCAAGAGAATTGGTCATACATTTTAATCATAGTCATTACCCCATCCTCACCTGTCCCACCCCATTGGTCTTCGTTAGGGTTACCATCGCTGTGAGGAAACACCATGACCAAAGAAACTTGAGGAGAGGAGGGTTTATTCAGCTAGTGAGTCCACATCACAGTTCCCCATCAAAGGAACTCAGGACAGGAACTCAAGCAGGGCAGGAACCTGGAGGCAGGAGCTGATGCCAAAGCCATAGAGTGGTGTTCCTTACTAGATTGCTCCTCGTGATGTTCTCAGCATTTCTTATAGAGCCCAGGACCACCATCCTACAGATGGTACCACCCACAATAGGCTGGTCCCCACCCCCCATCACTGAAGAGATGCCCCAGAGGCTTGCCTACAGCCTCCTCTTATAGAGGCATTTTTTTCAACTGAGGTGTCCTCTTCTCCCGAGACTTGTGTCACACTGACATTAAAACTAGCCAGGACACTGGTCCACTATTCCTCTTCCCAGCTAGCTGCCCTTCTACTATTTGTGTGTGTGGATCAATGAGCTTCACTGGGGTTGTGTAAAGGAACATGAACATCTTACCAATGGCCACACCACTGAAAAAACATGTGTTTCCTTTCCTCCCATCAACCTGTAAACATCTGGACAGCCCTCAGAGTGGGGATTTTTATTCTTACATTTTTAGTAGCCGTACATCTTAGCACAGCATTTTTTATTTTATTTTTTCTTTTGAGACAGGATTTCTTTGTGTAGCCCCAGCTGTCCTGGAACTCTATGTAGACCAGGCTGGCCTTGAGTTCAGAGATTCACCTACCTCTGCCTTCCAAGTGGTGCACCACTACCACCCTGAGGGCTGGGATAAAAGGCTTGTGCCACCACCAACAAGCCAACAAGGTACTTTTTAAAAAAGAATTTATTTGTTCTTATTCTATGAGCATAAATATTTTTTGCCTGCATGTATGCATGTGCACTGTGAGCTTGCCTGGTGTCCTTGAAGGCTGAAAAAGGGCACCAAATCTCCTGAAACTGGAATTATAGACACGGAGAGCCACTACGTGAGAGCTGGGAACAAGGGCAGTAAGTCTCTTAATCACAGAGGCATCTCCAGTCCTCTGGCACAAGTACTTCTTGAAAACAATTTAGTAGCATTGATGATGAACCACAAAATACTCATCGAGGATAGTCTAGCCACTGTGGAAGCCAGTTTGTTGTTCTTGTTTCCAAGATTAATCATACAATCATACAAATCAACAGGCACAGTCATTCCAGAGACATGAAGATTTGTATTGACACGAAAAGCTGCACGTTTATCCATAGCAACTTTATTCACAATAGACACAAACTAAACAACCCAGATGCGTTTCAAAGGATGACTAAATAAACCACAGATACACAGTAAGAAGAGGAACAAACGAATGATACATATCACTTGGATAATTGCCACAAAATTATAAAAAGCAGCCACAAACGCTGGGCACAAGGGCACATCGCCTTAATTCTAGCACAGCCAAGGCGGAGAGAAGCAGATACTTTCCTGAGTGTTTGAAGTCAAGTCTTGTCTCTACAGTGAGTTTCAGGTCAGCCAGAGGTACATAATAAGACCCTGTCTCTTCAACATCAAAGTCACATACTGTATGATTCCATCTCTAGAATACTTTTGAAATAACAACATTTTAGAAATGGAGAACAAATTAGTGGAGGAGGAGTGGGGGAAGGAAGAGAAGGCTCAGCAGTAAGGAAGGCTATATCTGAAAGGGCAGCTACGGGGATTCCTGTAGTGCTGAAATGTCTCGTACCATGACTGCAAAATGTCAATATTCTGGTTTTGATATAAGTCCTAGATATTACTATTGGGGAAAACAAAGTAAACAGAATTTGGGCTCTGCCGAATCACCGCCACCATCATCCTCTCACTTTGTAGTCCAAGCTGGTGTAAACTCAGAGACCCGCCTGCTTTTGCTTCCCAAGTGCTGGGATGCCCCAGGGGGTGGGAATTTTGAGGGTGGGGAGGTGGGAGTGGGGGGGGTAGATAGAGGTTACATCCACAGAGAAGAAGGAGGAGGGGTGAGGGGATTGGGGGCTCCTGGGTGGGTGGGGGATGGGATAAGGGGACAGCATAGGAAATGTAAATAAAACATCCAATAAAAATTTAAAAAAAAAGAAACAAATTACGATCTATCTATCTATCTATCTATCTAGATATGTATATATATGCATACATATGTACATATATATCCTCCCATTCTCCAACAAAGGATACAGTATTGTGTGGCACAATATTACAGTATATCACAAATATTTTATTGCTAGCAGTCTATGGAATTCTAGCAGAAATAGGTTCATTCCCTAGAACTACATGACATTTTTATTTGTATTGGTGGTCGCTGTGGTGTAGCATTAAATGACTTTTTCCCCCAGATTAAATTGCAGCCATCCATGACAATAAAAAATTTTCAGCTGGGATTGGTGGTGCACATCTGTAATCCCTGCACTGAGGGAGGTGAAAAGACAGGAGTGCTTCAACTTCGAGGCTAGCCTGGTCTACTTAGGTTCCAGATTAGATAGGGTTACAGAGTGGGGTTGTCTTAAAAAACACACTCCCTCCCAACCCCCCCCCCCAAAAAAAAAAACCTCTTCCACTTGAAGAGCAAACTTCAGTTCCAGACTCTTCCCAGATTTGACTAAGCAGTCATGAGCCAGCCAGGTAGGTGAGAAGAGCTATTGACTGCTCTGTCCAAACTGCGTTAAGGGTGACACCCCACGACCCCAGGGACCGGCATGAGAAGGCGCTCGCGAGCAAAGGGCCGGGCCCGAAGGTACAGTGACCACGTCAAGGTCAACGCAGGGAAGCTGCAGCCAGCCGAGGGCTAAGCTCCCTATGTCCGGAGCCCCATCCCGAGCGGCGACCCCACTGCTCCAGAGGCTGCGCAATGTGGATTCCACATACAGCAGGTAGGCGACCTTGGAGTCCCCCACCCCCCGACCCTGAAGACCGCACCTCTACTCCTTGCCAGGGGCTGAAACACGCCCCCACGAGTCACACCCCGGCACAGCTCACATTCCACCCCCATATCCTTTTTCGCCCTCTCAACCCAGCTTTTCCCGACTCCGGGAAGAACCGGGAAGAGAAGGCGGAGGGCAGCGAGGCACCGTCGGATAAATACTATGGTCCGGTCACGCCCCCTTGATGTCACTTCCGCCCCAGGGTAAGATGGCAGCGCCCGGTCCTTGCCACGCAGACTTCCGCCTTGCCGGGAGACCGGCGGCCGGTGGTTGTTCTCGTCGGAGGTGAAGTCGTGACACTCGGCGCAGAGCCTCAACGCAGGTGCGTCATGCAGTCCCGGGTATGTGACAAGTCCAAAGCTAGAGGTGGGGCGCTCCGGGAAGCCTCGCCACGTGGGACGGGGAGGAGCTGAGGTGCAGCTAGAGCGACCCGCGGCCGGGGGGGGGGCCGCGGGAGGCCACGTGGGTGGGGTTCCGCTCAGGGTCCTTGCGTCCAGCCTTTGGAGTCACTTTGTTGTCTACTTTCCTCCAGGAACCATGTCGGAAGGGAACGCCTCGGGCGAGCCCAGCAACCCTGGAGGGCCGCGACCCCTTCTCTCTGGGGGCCGGGGGCTGATTGGCCGGCGGCCCGCACCCCCGCTTACGCCGGGTCGCCTTCCCTCCATCCGCTCTCGGGACCTCACCCTTGGCGGAGTCAAGAAGGTACCTAGGAGAGTGTTTGTACAGAAATCCAAATACCTTGGGTTCCAGGCCGTAGGGAGGCAATTCGTGATGTTCATTCTTGTACGGCTTTGTGTTCCTGATGGGATGTCAGCCTCTAGGGAGACCTTCAAGCCTAGGTGCCGGTACAAGACACTGACATGGTTACATAGGCAATTAAAAGGCAGAGAACCTAGTTAATTCAAGACATTCGGAAGTGCTTATTATGTTCTGGGCACCTTACAAAATCCCATGAAAGCCAGACAAAATTGCTTTAGTTACAATTTTGAGTGTTCATAACTCTGGATGTCAGTATGGAAACTAATAATCTATTATGTGATCAGTCTTAAGCGCACCAGTAACTGCTCTTTGTCCTCTCCCATTATGTGTGTAACAGTAGGTGTAATCAGTAGCTCTGAAAAGAAAGAGCAAAGTAAGCAAGGGATAAAGCTGTTTAGCTTTGCCTTGGGTGCTACTGGTGATAGGCTACCTGTGTAATCCATTTGTGAGTGCTGGCAGATCTGTCTCTGTAAGCCTTCCCAGACCTGTTGGTCAGTTGAGCACTTCAAAAATACAGTACTATCTTTTACTTTTCAGAAAACCTTCACCCCAAATATCATCAGTCGGAAGATCAAAGAAGAGTAAGTACCTAGGACTAATGAACACTACTCACTCTGTTTTCCTCTGAATTTGGGGAAGTAATTAGGTGTGTGCCCTGGGAATTTTAGCTTATGCCATTAGCTTATTCACTAATGGTTCTCATCCGTCAATCCCAGGTTATGTAGAGGCATGTTTCTTTTTGAGGCAGAGACTCTCTTACATGGCCTTTCATATCCTGGAACTCAGACGTAGATTGCTGGCCTAGAACTCCCAGGGATCTGCTTGCCTCTCATTTGTGTCCCGAGCCCTGGGATTAAACTGTGCACCACTGTGTCTGGCTCAACTGCACTTTGCATTAGAGGGTAATTTTTCCTTCCTTCCTTCCTTCCTTCCTTTCTTCTTTCTTTCTTCCTTTCTTTCCTTCCTTCCTTCCTTTCTTTCTTTCTTCCTTTCTTTCTGTAATAAATAGCTAAGATAATCAACTTACAAAGAGGGACATTTTATTTTGGACATCAGAGTTTTGGAAATTTTAGCCCATGATCAGGCAGTTCTTTTGCTTTTGGGTCTATGGTATGGCAATGAACACAGTCAGAGAATACATGAGGGGAGAAAGAAATCAAGGAGAAGTAAGGGTTGAGTTTCTGTTCTCCTTCAGGAGCTGGACAACCATCCAGTAGGTTCCATCTCTTACAGTTTCAGCCACCTTCTAATCCTGCCGAGATGGGGCTAACCTCCTCATACTTTCCCTTAAGTTCCTTTGCTTTCCAGCCTTTCTACTTAAAGGTAGAAAAAAAAAAGTCCACATTTTGGACAAGAAGGTAAAGTAAAAGGAAATTAAAGGCCGTGCTTATGGAAGATGTAAAAGGTGTGGCAAAGGGTTGGGTGCCGATTCTCCTGGTGTACTTACAGGCTCACAAACTCTGCTCAGCTGGCTGACAGGGGTGGGTAAGGAGGCTTCATTTCCTGAGGCAGACCCTTTTGTCTGTCCTCATTCCCAGACCAAAAGAAGAAGTAACTATGAAGAAGGAAAAGCGTGAACGGGACAGAGACCGCCAGCGTGAGGGCCATGGACGGGGACGTGGCCGTCCAGAAGTGATCCAGTCCCATTCTATCTTTGAGCAGGGTCCAGCAGAAATGATGAAAAAAAAAGGTACCAGGAAGGGATCTGGTCTGGATCGAAGTTCAGACTGCCTGAGAAGGCAGAGCGTGTGATTCTCCCTTCCTAGTTTGGTTTTCCTTGCTGTGGTGGCCGTCTGTATTTAACCCTAATGAACAGCATGATTTCTGGCAGGGAACTGGGATAAGACAGTGGACATGTCAGACATGGGACCTTCTCATATCATCAACATCAAGAAAGAGAAGAGAGAAACCGATGAAGAAACCAAGCAGATCCTGCGCATGCTGGAGAAGGATGATGTAGGTACCGGCAGCCAGGGAAGGACGATGTAGGTACTGGCAGTCTGGAGAAGGATGATGTAGATACCAGCAGCCAGGGAAGGATGATGTAGGTACCGGCAGTCTGGGGAAGGACCATGTAGGTACCAGCAGCCAGGGAAGGACGATGTAGGTACTGGCAGTCTGGGGAAGGATGATGTAGGTACCGGCAGTCTGGAGAAGGATGATGTAGGTACCAGCAGTCTGGGG